AAATGCACTTTTTCCAATAAGTTTTCTACATCAGCTTGAAAATGGAAAACGAAAAGGATACAAAGCATGTTATTTCTTTTTGCTTTTTCTTTTTTCTTTAACAAATTCATGATCCAATCAAAACTGATATGATACGAATGAATGAATGCAGTAAAACAAGGGGGAAATTGAATTTTCATGAAATGCAAATTTAAGCCAAGAGCCAAAAGTTTCTCTGGGACTTAGTATTGAGAAGATAGCCTCCATCCTGGCCCTTTTTCTGAACTGCAACACAGGTGCACTTGCTGTTCTCTATCAAATACTCTGCTGTGTCTAGTCCTCTCAATGACCCATTCCGCCTCTGCCTGTTAATAATTTACATATATGTAGACACATACAAAATGAATTAGAAAATAATAGTGTGCTAGATAATCAATGAATTGAATTTTAAATGCTCTCTTTTCATGTTTTCAAAAACAAAACCAATGAAATTTTGAAAGCACAATCATTTTCATTTGTGCAAATTACATTGACCTCCCCTGTAAACAATTTTGACATAACTATACCGACCTCTATTTTAGTAAGGCTAAAAGGATCAGAATTAATGCAGATGGTATGAAAACATAATGATAAACAAAGTAGAATAGATATTTCAATATAAAATAAATGACAGAAAGAGGGCTAAGTGTTATATGAATTAAAACTTTAAGCGAGTCTATTGTATAATTATGTCTAACTTGTGGGACTTACTATATTTTTTCAAGAGTAATGCTAGAGATCCCAAATATTCTACCAAAAGTTTTACCAAATGTCTCACATGGGTGTGGGACCCACACAATGTGGGTCCCATGTGCGTCCTGTTGCGGATCGGGGGCACACCAGGGAACTCAAACAAGCAATAACACACAAGATTTAACGTGGTTCGGCAAGTCGCCTACGTCCACGGGCAGCGGATTCACTATATTGAACAAAATGGTAAGAATTACAACACTCTCTGTAATTCTCTCTCTCTCTTTGCTCTCTAAGCTCACACCTCTTAGCTGTGCCTCAACTCTCCTTAGCTTCTCTATATATAGAGATTACAAATGCAAGAGGAATTGAGCTGGCTGCCAGCCTATTTCGGTGGCTTTCCCTTCATGGCCTCATGGCCTCATGGTATGGCCTCATGGCCTCATGGCCAACTCATGGCTTCCCCACCATGTAGCTGGCTGCTACTTTCCTTCACATGGAAGAGTCTGTAGCCAACTCAACAAATCTCCACCTTGGCGAGGATTCTCTTATCCAACATAGTGATCGATCAACACTGCCATGCACCTGAAGGTGCTCAGTTCCGAGAGATGTTGACCAAGTCCAAACAATGTTGGAACTTGATCCCAGAAACTACCTTTGTGAGCATATCGGCCGGATTATCTGCAGTACCAATCTTTTGAAGCAGAATATCCCCTTCATTCACAATTTCTCGGATGAAATGGAAACGGACATCAATGTGCTTGGTGCGGGCATGATGAACCTGGTTCTTTGCCAAACAAATGGCACTCTGACTGTCACAAAACACCTCAACGTGCTTCTGAACAATTCCCAAGTCTTCAATCAACCCATGTAGCCAAATAGCTTCCTTAAAGGCTTCCGTCACTGCCATGTACTCTGCCTCTGTAGTAGACAAAGCCACCGTTGACTGAAGCGTTGACCTCCAACTTACCGGCCCTTTAGCAAGCATAAATAAATACCCTGTTGTTGACCGGCGTTTGTCTAAGTCACCAGCATAATCTGAGTCCACATATCCTTCCAAATTCTGCCCGAGTCGGTTATCTCTCTCGAACTTCAATCCCAGATTGACCATGCCATGTATGTACCGTAGGATAAAGTCTTGTATAAAGGATAAAATTTATTATTTAAATACTTTATCAGACTATTATACCCTAAACTAAATCTTCCCACCTTCTCCACCCACTCTCCCCCCACCTTCTCCGTCTCTCTCCTCATAATCAACCTCAGTACACAACAAAGTTCGAAGCAAAATCATCAACTAAAATGCAAGCTAGGGCAAAGTAAAAAGAGAGAGACGATTGAATGACCACGCAATTGGGGTTTAGCTAGTGATGTGTGTGTATATATATATGGATATATACTGTATATAAATTGATCAAATTGAAATTGTAGCACTGAAAATTGGAGAGGAGATCTGGAAGAAGGAAACAACCTTTTTTTGATCTGATGATAAGTATACACATGTCCTCAGATCCTTTGGCAGTAGATTTGGTTGGCGAAGCAAATCTAGTCGGTGGAGATAAAGATCGAAGACAACAGAGCAAATTTGATATGCGGAGCAGATCTATAGTCTGTGATCCAACCAAAGGTGTCGGAGCGGCGGCGGCGGAAGAGGAGATCCAAGACGGCGGCGACGGATGGTCTTCCAGATCTCCACTGCAGCGGTGGATCCATGCCGGCGACTGGCGACAAGCGACAGGCGATAGTGAGGATCGATCTGAGTTGATGACCAGTGTTGAAAGAGAGAGATCGGGAGGAGGAGATTGAAGGGAGAAATCGGTGGACGTGGCTGTTGCTACCTTGGCGGCGATGGAAGAGGCGATAGAGAGAGAGAAAAAATGATTGTTGTTTTCAATTGTTTTTTATTTTATTTTATTTTATTATTTGTTAATAGATCTAAGAGTAAAATTTGATTCTGGTTCGTTCATTTAGTATGTATTTTATTTTTTGTAATAATAAAATTTTACTCTGGTTAAAAACATGTTGATTTATTTAACGATATAAAATTTTATTTTGAATCATAATAAACTTTACTTTGATTCAGAGTAAAATTGTACTTTTAGAGTAAAGTTTACTATGATTTGAAATAAATTTTTTTTTCTAAAATACACTGTGATGATGGCTTAATAAGAGATCTAATAGATATGAGGGTAGTATATTAAAAGAAACAAGTTTTAAAATATTTAGGGTTTTGAAAGTACTTTTATAATTATTGTCCTTTTGAAAGACAAATTAGATAGTGAGGGTCTATCACCGAATCCCCCTTCAATTAATCTAAGAATATGTTTGTTTGGACGGGTTGGATAAGGGAGAATTGGAATCTACCTGAACTATTTGGTTAGATAGGATTTATATTCCTTATTTGTTTAGTAATGGGATTAGATGTCAGGAAATGACTATTTGGTTGAATAAGATATGAATCCTATGTTTGTTTGGAATATTATGGAAAAGGATAAATGCTTAAATGACTATTTTACCCTTTTAATTATTTACTAAGTAATAGCAATATTAAAATATCTTTAAAATTTTAATTATTTTTAACTAGATTAAATAAAATTTTATTTTATTTTATTTTAATTTTTACACAATTAAATAAATTTATTTTGTAAAAATAAAATAAATAAAATATCAATAAAAATATATGTTATTTTTTAATTAAAATTTTAAATAAATTTGGTTTTAAAAATAATAATAATTAAACAATGAAATTAAATAAAACATCTATTAAAATTTAAATAATGAAATTAAATAAACTATAAACAAAAAATTAAAAAAAACATTAATAAAATATCTATAAAAAATTATTTAAAATATTAAATAAATAAAACATCAATAAAAAGTTAAATAAAATTATTTTATTTTTAAATTGAGACATTTAAATTTTATTAAATTTTACTAAATATAATACATAATTAAATAGAAAATGGTCAAAATAGTCATTTCACTACCTAATCCCAACAGTAAATAATCCCCCACAATTATCCCACACCCCCAGGATAGTATAATCCCCCATATGGGGGATAAGGAGTCTGGCCGGACTCCATGTCCGGCAAACTAAAAAAAAAACAAACATCGGATTGGATTTACTGTGCGGATTACAATCCGCATAGTAAATAATCCCCCCCCTCTTATCCCCCTAGGATATTGGCCCTGTTTGGTAGAGCTGTGGGAAAGTACTTATAGCTTATGCCTCAACAGCTTATAGCTTATAACTTTCAGCTTATTCTGATTTCCAGCTTATTCTTAAAGCATCTCCTGCCCCACTCAAAGAATAAGTTGATTTCTGACTTCCAAAAAGTTATAAGCTATAAGCTAAACTAAACACATCAAAATAGCTTAAATTAAGCTGAAAGCTGAAATAAGCTGTAATTAAGCTCTGCCAAACAGGCACTATAGGTGCATCTAAAAAGTATAAAAAAATAACTAAAATATGAGAGGGGAGAGGGGGAGTTGACTAAAGACAAGAACATGTTTCTAAAAATAATTTTGAAAAATCAAACCAAACAAAGTCCAAATGTTCCAGTTTGGTCCATGGTGTGAAATTTAACTAAAGAGAAGTCAGTTTATGTAGCAAATTCCACATCCATCCTCGTCCAAATATTTACAATCCTCATTAACTGTGAATGTTAAAAGCGTACATGAGGTTTTCTCTAAGAGAAACCAATAGAGAAGTTTATAACTTCAAAAACAAAAACAAAATCAGTAAAAAGACAGCAGCAAGTCAAATTGGATCAAGGAATGTGACAACAAAAATTAAATCATGAATGCCATGTTTGGATCTTGGATTTTCTGATAGATTTGTAAAGAAAATGAAAATGCAAGAGAGCGAAATGAAGTAGAAACTAAGGGCTTTTTTTTTCCCTTCATTTTTAAGCTTTTGTTTTTTTACGTTTTTGGAAACAAAAACAAAGAAACGTTTGAAAACACAGTTTGTTTCATTTTTGTGCTTTAAGAGTTTTCAAACAATGAAGACAACTCAAAAGCATCAGGGAAAAAAAATGGAGTGCTTTTTAGAGGGGAAAAAAATTCAAAAATAGTTTGCCAAATAAATTTGGAAAAATTTCATTTAAGCAGAAACAATAATTGTATATCATGAAAGCGCAAGTCTATTGAAGTAAGAGTTGTGTCTCGCGCCACATCTCTTATTTACACCGTACACAGATTCACTTGCAGCTTTATAAAAGTATAATTATTATGAGTTGTTATCATTTAAATGCACTTTTCCAATAAGTTTTCTACATCAGCTTGAAAATGGAAAACGAAAAGGATACAAAGCATGTTATTTCTTTTTGCTTTTTCTTTTTTCTTTAACAAATTCATGATCCAATCAAAACTGATATGATACGAATGAATGAATGCAGTAAAACAAGGGGGAAATTGAATTTTCATGAAATGCAAATTTAAGCCAAGAGCCAAAAGTTTCTCTGGGACTTAGTATTGAGAAGATAGCCTCCATCCTGGCCCTTTTTCTGAACTGCAACACAGGTGCACTTGCTGTTCTCTATCAAATACTCTGCTGTGTCTAGTCCTCTCAATGACCCATTCCGCCTCTGCCTGTTAATAATTTACATATATGTAGACACATACAAAATGAATTAGAAAATAATAGTGTGCTAGATAATCAATGAATTGAATTTTAAAGGGCAAATTACAAACACCCCCTCGAGATTTGGTAAAAATACAGATTCTCTCCTGAGGTTTGAGAAATTACGAATTACCCCTTGAGGTCAAATTTTCATGACAAATTAGGAAAAATTAGGGGGGAATCTGTATGAAAATAAAAATCTCAGAGGGGCAATTTGTTATGGAAATATAAACCTCAGGAGGTGGGATGTAATTTCTCAAACCTCAGGGGGAATCTGTATTTTCACCAAACCTCGAGGGGGTGTTTGTAATTTGCCCAATTTTTAAATGCTCTCTTTTCGTGTTTTCAAAAACAAAACCAATGAAATTTTGAAAGCACCATCATTTTCATTTGTGCAAATTACATTGACCTCCCCTGTAAACAATTTTGACATAACTATACCGACCTCTGTTTTAGTAAGGCTAAAAGGATCAGAATTAATGCAAATGGTATGAAACATAATGATAAACAAAGTAGAATAGATATTTCAATATAAAATAAATGACAAAAAGAGGGCTAAGTGTTATATGAATTAAAACTTTAAGCGAATCTATTGTATAATTATGTCTAACTTGTGAGACTTACTATATTTTTTCAGATCTCAAGGGAGGTTACCCTTTTCATTTTTATATGAAAACAGTTTTTAAAAATTCATACAGCATTTAAAAAGTGCATCCTAAGAATTGTGTTTTCAGAACATATTCCTCTGCCAAACAAGTTTTCCATATCAGTTTTTTATTTTTCCTACATTCTAAAGTAAAAAATAGAAAATGAAAACGATACCTAATGTGTGAGTGCCTAGGATTCATGGACTCAAAAAATGCCATCATTTTCATTTTTATATGAAAACAGTTTTTAAAATTTCGTACACCATTTAAAAAGTGCTTCCTAAGAACTGTGACCATCATTTTCATGTTCCTTTCTTTTCTTTGATTTGTTTAGTTTCAATTAAAGTGCTCTTTCATATATAACATCATCAAGTTTTCATTAGAAGAATTAAAAGTAATGAATTCCATCAGTGAGTAATTCCATGCTTCCACATCTACATTTAAATCTGATAAATCAACAATGAAGGCGTTTTTCTTTTCTTTTTTTTTTTTCAAAAAGAATTAACCACCATCAATAGAAAAATAGAGATGGGTAAAAAACAACCATTAAGAAAAAGCTAATCAGATGAACAAAATTACTAGTCATGGTATTTAGAAATGGTAATTTGGAGATATTCTTCTAACATGCATTTTGAAAAACAGGAAAACAAAAACACAACCAAAATAGAAAATGGTTGTGTAGACTCACCCTAATATTGCATTTGATAGACTACGCTTTTGCCCTATAATAAGGAGATCAATCGAGTGCAATGTGCTATGGTGAAGGATTACAGCACCCTTTTCCTTGCCATCCATCTCCACCTTCTCTACATGCACCTGAAGCTTTGATTGAGCAATCTCACAAGCACGCCTCATCACTTCAAGAAAATCCAAGTCTCCACCACCACTGACACCGCCACCGCCACCTTCAGTAGAGGAGGCAGCAGCAGAGACAGCAGACGGTGACGGCCACTTAAGGAACGAAAACGGGTTTTTCCATGCATTATGGTTGTCAACATGGAGAAGAATTAAGCTATCGTGCTTGATCACTACATGGGAGAGGGCATATTGGAGGGCAGCGGCTGATTCCCGGGTAGGGTCTGCTACCACCATCACCTTCCGTGCTGGGGTGGTCCCACCTTCCATGGTACTGCTACGGTTACTACCATCAAGGTGTTGCCGCCGCTGCCACAACCACAATCACCACCATTACCAACACCACCTCTTCTTGGTATTGAGATGGAAGTAGAAGGAAGGAAAGAAGAAAATAAAATTAAAAGTTGCCATTTTGTTTTGTGTTTGTCATTTCTTTTTGTGATTCAGAGGTTCATGCCATTGTGTTTTTCTGCTAAATTTGGGGTATGTATATTTTGGGACCCTAATAATATGACCAGGTCAATGCCATCCTTGAGTTGTTTGTTTTTAGAAATAGAACAATAAGCTAGAGAATTGTATTTATAAAAAGGACGATCCACTGCACGAAATTTCCGTCAAAGTTAGATTTGGGGAAGCCAAGATGTAACAGGCAGCCATATCTACACTTGTGGAGTTGTTATTGGATCAAATCGCCCTTAAGTCTCTGTTTGGAATCCCCTAAGTAAATAGTGTTTTGACTAAAAAAAGTTAAAAGCTTGTTTGGGGAAGGCTAAGGATGTATTTGGTTGTGATTTCAAAATGTGATTCAACGTGGTAGTTTGAGTAGAGTGTTTGGATGGAGCTGTGGAATTAATTTTTCACATCTCTACAAAACGCTCTGTTTGTTCTGTCAAAACCGAGCGTGTGTTTCAATTTTTTTTTTTCAAAACAGGACGCCTGACTGGTTGACCGACATAGTGATTTTTTTTTTTTTTACAATTTTAATTTTTTTTTTTTTGCAATTGATATATAATCGAAAAAAATATTTTTTGAAATTTTTAAAATTTTTTATGTGCTTTAAAATAATTTTGAGTTGTATGAGTTGTAAATTTTTGTATCAAATTTCAAATGTCACATCAACAATTCCCCACTCAAATCAAAACTCTTTACCAAACAAATTTTCTACACTCAAATTATAATTTCACAACACACAAACTCAAAATACAACTCATACTCTCAAATCACATTTACAAAACTCTACCAAACGCTACCTAAACCTTTTAGGGTTCATTTGAAAAGTGGATTGACTTTTTAATTTTTTGACTTTTTTAGCTATTTTAGCCTGAGCTAAAAAACCTCATTTTGGATGAGCATTTCTGTTTTTTTAACTTTTGTAAGAAAAAAATGTAATGATTATGGACTGGATGTGATGTTGTCTTATTTGGCAAAAAAACCTATTTTATTTTTTTGTGACTAAAATAGTCAAAAAGCCTCGAGCTTTTTCTTCCTAAACAAAGCCTTAGCAAATTTAGGAAAATACGATTTTACCTTCAATACTTTCAGAAATTCCACCATGACTTTACCAGGGTTTCACAATACTATAAGGTAGTGTTTGTTTTGAAAGATTGGGACTAATAGTGCGTTGTTTGATTCATATTTTTTGCTCCAAACTAATATTCCATCCGGACTATTAGTCCCAAATTTGGTGAACTGTTGTATCCCATGGGGGGTAGGGTGGGATAGAAATCATGAGATAACTCATCACATGAGATTAGCTTATGAAATTAAATATTTGACCCTCTAGTATTTAATATTTCTTTCCTCATCTTTTTTTCAATCGTTTTTTTTTTAATAAAATTTATTATTCAGAAAGAAAAATCTATGCTCAGTTTTTTTTTTCTTCTTACAGAAAAATCTACGCTCTGTTTATTTATTATTTTTTTTTTTTTACAAAAAGAAAAAATCTAGGCTCTGTTTACAGAAACAAAAATCTGACTGGCCTCATCTTTACATGTATCCTGATACTTGATCAAGATCAATTTATGTTGTATGTACTCAAATTGAAGATCAATCTATGATGTGTTGTATGTACTCAATTTAATCAAATACTTTTAGTTTGTTTAAAAAAAAATGATAGAAATTGAAAACATTTTTTCGTGGATTGTAAACATCTGTTGAGTTTAATTAATTGTTCTATTGTTCTACTGTTCATATTTTTTAATTTTTGTGGATTGTAATCTGTTTAGTGTAATTAAATGTTTACTAATTGTTTATGATTTACTGTTATATTTTCTGCTTTACTTAATTTATTTGTAAATTTAAATATTTTCTTGTATATAGAGATGGATCAGAATATCAATGATTTTTATGATGAGAATAAAACAATTTGTATAATTTTATGATTTTGAATCAAAATCTCAATTACAAATTAAAATAAATTTATGTAATTTTTATTAATATTCTATTTATTTAATTTTTTAACAATTCTAGTAAAAAATTAAATAAAATTTATAATTCAGATTTAGTATTCCTATTATTTAGCAAATAATTCAAAAGGGCAAAATAGGTATTTGAGCATTTATCATTCTCCATAATATCCCAAACAAACATAGAATTCAATAGAATACTCCAATCTAGACATTTAATCACATGACTAAACAAACATATGATACAAATTCAGTCTAATCAAATAGTCCAGGAATAATGTATCCCAAGATTAACAATCTGATGGATTACAATCCTCTTTATCCAGTTCGTCCAAACAAAGGTGTCCTAAGGATAATATATTAATTTCTCACCAAAAAGAATGTTTGAAAAGACCCAAAAAGAACTAATTTTTTTGGTAATTACCAAACCAAACGCAGCAACTGTTTTACATTGAAAAAAAAAAAAAAAAAAAAAAAGAGAAAGAAGCAATTGTCAAACCCTGTAGTATTGTATTCGTATACTAATTATCATAAGCAAACCATAAGCAACAAAAAAAAATGAAAAAGAAATTACCTCATGAAAAGAAGATCAAAAGGCTTCATATATGCACTGTCCAACGTTGGTACGAAGCAATAAATAAACAAGCGAACCCTGCCATAGCCAACTGCCAACATGATTCTAACATGGAATGCTATTGTTTACAGAAGAAGTAAAAATGATGTCGGTTGGAAAATGGCTTTGGAAAATTTGAAAAAATCTTATTTTTTTGTTAATTTTGAACATTAATTAAGATGGGATCCAATTATTATTTTTAACGTTTCTAATTGGATTTATATTTAATGCCGCGTAGTGAATAATATTGTGTATTTGGTTGCTCAAAAAAATTTCCCGATAAATGAGAATTCAACGCGCATTTTCGGATCCGTGAAAATGAATTTAGGTGAGTTTCCTGCACATTTATAAAATGTGCTTGTCCCACATTGGAAAAACTTAAGGTTTTAAATGGTTATATAAACCTTAGCATGGGATACTTGGGATGTGCTCCGAGGGATACCCAAATTTGTGGAAGTGTGAGGTTATGAGTAAAGTGGGCTAGACTCATTTGACCCAAAACAAAAATGCATGCGCATGCTGTCGCCGTCCGAACGGGTTGGGTTGGGCTTGTCTGACCTAGTACTTATCTTTTTGGGCCAAAATCATTTGCATTTTATTTATTTAATCCATTTTTTTTCTCACCCAAACAGATCCCAAACAGGTTCATACCTGTTGAGTTCCACTCGAACAAGTTTTTTACCTGTTAAAATTCAAACCGAATCTGTTGAATTTGTCCAAACAAATTTCTATCTGTTTGGTACCTGTTCGGAAAAGCCACTTGCTCCTCTATATAAAGCCTTCCATTCCAGCATTCTTGGCATCTAATTTTTCCCTGATAATTTTGTCTTTCATCTTCTGTTCGTCTTTATGCATTCTGTTTCTATTCTACATTTGATTTTAGGAATAGAAAGAGAGAGTTTCAGCAAAGTTTTGGTTCGCCAGACTTGATTTTGTAGTGCTGCAAATCAAGTGTTAGTAGTTGCATTTTGAAAAGTAGATGCCGATAAATCTCGAAGCACCGAAGCGAGGGCGAAATCTACTTTAAGGAGATTATGTCTAACACAAATCTCGACTTATAATTTATGTAACCAATTAATTCAAAATTTAATTTATACAATTATTCTCTGAATTATTTTATTTTGTTGTTTATTTTATTTATACATTTAATTTACACACACACACACACACCGCTGTGGGAATAACAATCTTAAAGTATATTTTCGTTTTTATTTATTTCTGTGTTAAACAGACGAATATTTAGTTTCAAGAAATTAAATAGTAGGCGTATATGTTTAATTTCTTAAATAGTAGTAATATACTGTTTAATAATTTCTCTAATAACATAGTAGTTATATACTGTTTATCATTGGAATTTTGTTACAAAATGTTATTTTGTATATTTTGTGTGTAAATTTCTATTTTGTATAAATTTGTGATTAGTGCATTATTATTTCGTCAAAAATATGACAACTAATAGTACTGAGACTATTATTACTCCGACCCCCACACCTGTTGTGCTAGTGATGACTCAAGCAGTACTAGTAAATCATGGGGAGAAGCCAGAAAAATTCAATGGAAATGATTTTAAAAGATGGCAACAAAAATGATGTTTTATCTTACAGCATTGAATTTGGCTCACTTCACTCATGAAAAAGCTCTGGCACTGAACAAGGGAGAAACTGACCGGCAAGTGGTTGTCGCAGTCGATGCATGGAAACATGGTGATTTTTTGTGTCGGAATTATATGTTCAATGGGTTGGACAATACACTGTACAATGTGTATAGTGTCAAAAACACTACTAAAGAACTATAGGAATCTCTAAATCATAAATATAAGAAAGAAGATGCTGGTACAAAGAAATTTGTTGTCGGTCGTTTTCTAGATTTTAAAATGATAGATTCCAAGACGGTTATTAGCCAAGCTCAAGATCTCCAACTAATTCTCCATGACATGCATGCGGAAGGGATGGTTCTCAATGAATTTTTCCAAGTAGCGGCAATCATTGAAAAATTACCACCATCTTGGAAAGAATTCAAGAATTATCTGAAGTATAAACGCAATGAGATGAAATTGAAGGAACTGATAGCGCGACTTAGAATTGAGAAGGACAATTGTGGTTCCAACAAGAAGTCAAGAAACCATGTCATGCAGGCTAAAGCAAACGTTGTGAAACATGGACAAAGGTTAAAGTTCAACAACAAGAAGCGGAAGCATAATGACAATGGTCCCAAACAAGGATCCACAAGTAAGATAAAAAAATGGATCAACAATGGGTTCAATAAGAGGGTCAAAGGAAAGTGTTTGGTGTGCGGCAAAGATAGACAACGCACTAAGGATTGTCATGTTCGCAAAGACGGAGGGAGTTCAAGCAAAAAGCCAGTACGAGCCAACA